ATTTTTCTCTTATTATGGGAGGTCCAAGCTTTGAAGAATTTGAAAGGCCTTGAGGCATTAACCTTATCAAAATTTTGCGTAATAAGAAGCAAATTATCGTGTAAGCAAAGCTTAATGAAATTGCAATAGTTAACACTTTTCGAGTACATAAACCAAGCTTAATTACAGATTGCTTGATCTTGCTCCAGAAGTACACAGATTACCTGCGGAAAAACATTCGCAGCTAAATCTGTGATTTTTCATACTACTCTATATTTTGAAACATTATTTCCTGCGAAAAATGTACAGCAGTAACTTTCGCAAGAATTTCAGAAATATTTTTAATTTAAAAATAAAATATAATTTTCCTCCAAATTTAACTGCTAGTTCGTTTGCAGGAATTATTTATCTATTGAAATCCACAAAATTCTCTGAAAATTTCGCAGAAATTTACAGTAAACGTTTCTGCGAGTTGTTTAGGACTTTTTTATTTTATTTTATTTTAATTTTATTGTATTTTTTTATTAATAAATAAAATTATAAAACACATATTGATTCCAACAATATGTTTTTGAGATTCTTTATTTAGTTTTTTTTAAAAAAGATTTAGAATATTAATTGAGTTTTTATTAGTTATTTTTTAAAGAAAATTTATGTATTTAATACTTTTTTTATTGTTGTAAAAATTAGAAAAATTAAAATTATAAATTATTGGTATAATTGGTGTGTAATCCTTCAACTTGTAAATTTTTTTTAAATATAAAATTTAGAAAGATAATAAAATAACTCTTTTATTCAATTGATATAATATATTTTTTATATTATTTTATATTATATATAATCTTTTTATTCATTTTGTGTATTAAAATATTTTGGTGAAATAACTAAATTATTATGCTAGAGATTAATTTATTAATTTGCAATTTAATTTTACAATTTAAAAGATGATAAAATTAAATAAAAATACTGATTCATCCTAAAATTGTGGAGTAAGAGAAAAAAAAAATTTCAAACAAATTGTGTTTTATAAGAAGTATAAGACTTAGAAAAAAAATGATAAAACATGTGAAAATTATTTTTTAGTTTTAAACTCAATTTTTTTTTGTATTAATTTCATTTAATACACATTTTTGAGAAGTAAGTGTTTTAGCAAAGGTATAATATCATTTTTAGTTTTGTATTTTAACCTTAAAATTTATTATGATTTCTTAACTTTAAAAAGATTCATATTGGTTTTTCAACTCTTTAAAATATTTTATATTAATTATTTTTGTTTTATTAGCGAAGAATTTAATACATAATAATATTTTTTTCTATATAAAATATTATATAAAATATATATTTTTCTTTTAAAATAAAATAATTATTTCTTAAAAATATATTTTATTTATTTAATTGTTTCGTTTAAAAAAATCTATTTAGGTGAAAATCTTTGGATTATATAGATTCTTAGAAACTAAGTCAAAGAAACACACTATTAGCTCACAATCATAACTACTAATTAAATCCTATTTATTCTATTTTACTAATTATTTTAAAGTGAATTGTGTTATTTTTTAATTTTAATTTTAATTATTTTAAAAAAAATATATTAATTTTACTTAATATATGATTGGAATAACATGTATGGTTGAACTCAATAAAAAAACAAAAAAAACTACTATCTTGATTTGGACTATCACCAAACCAAACCGGAAACCAAAAAAAAATTGGTAGACACGACGAAACCCCCTCCCTTTCTCGCCCCCAATCCCTAACACAATTCACCTCCTTCTCTCTCACTCTCACAATCCATTTGGGATTTGTTCATCTCTCTAAAACCCTAGAAAAATTTCGCCACATTCCCAATGAAACTGTGTTTGGCGATTTGGCGATTCACTTCGGAAGCACCACTAGCTTTGAGATTCAACGAAACACGCCACCGATCAAATCTAAAATCCATTCCCATTCTCCCCACCTCCATATTCATCCAACGATAGAGTAGTACCCTGCAACAGCCAAGCATGGTATTGGACCTTGTTTCATTGTTCAAAGTTTCAATTCCAACTTACAAAAGTTGTTGGACGATATAGGAGTGATGATAGTGCTACTTATATGCAGGTTATAACACGGGTGGAAGTGAAGGTTCAATCGCAAGAAGATCGATGGGTCCTCTAGTAGAGCTGTGTAGTTCCCGTATACTTTTTCCGTTAGAGGGCACCCATTAGCGGCGGCCAAAGGGAAGGCTTGCATAAGCATTTCTAAGCTTTGATTCTGCTCATTTTGCTGCAGCAAATCAGTGATGGTATTTGAGACAAGATGCTTTCTCATTTTCAGGATGCAATGTATTGTTGTGAATATTTTTGGTGATTGAATCGAACATGATCTTGTCTGGTTTTCATGTGCTTAACAATAATTAGTAGCTTTGAGATTTCAGGATTTATTGTGAAATTAAGTAAAAAATTAACATATACATATGGTCAATCAATATTAATCTCTTTCAATATTCTCAGAATTGTTAAGATAACATCTGTATATGGTTTGGTCTTGTCAATTAGACTTAGATTCTTTTACTTCCAAGTGTATTTACTACATGTTTGGATAAGCAACTTACCTTGGCAGAAGGGAAGATAGTCCCAGAACTTGGCTGTAGTTCCCCAGCAATTAACTTAAGTATTTGCTCCATCTTGGCAATGTCTGTTGAAAAACTCTAGGTCTTCTGTAGTAGCCATGAATCCATAGAGCTGTCGATTACCACCAGGGAGAAACAAAATCCAGGTCTTCTGTTGAAAAAAACATCGTATGCAATTTGTTTCAATATATTAATAAGCACTTAAGTAAACTGCAAATAAATCATCTAGGCATTGACAGTATGTTTTATTGTTCTTCACTCAACTTATACTTCAAGAACAATTATTTGGCATTTGAATGAAGAAAAAACACATATAGATTTTGTATTTGAATAGAACTTTTGTTATGGATTTGAGTGTTTGTTTAGGTTCAATGTATAACCCTAGTAATAAAGAAACGGAAGGTTCCTGTTAGGATATGATTCTTACTCGGTATGATGATATATTATTTTCATCTAAAAAGGTTTGCTTCAAGGTTCAAACATTTGACAGAATATTTTTATTCGCTGTGAAGTTCCACATTTCTACTCAAGTCTATTTTTGGGTGTTTGTTGTGTATTGGAATCCAATCATATGTTTGGTTCAATGCATTTTGACATTCTCAGTTATTTGTTTTAATTTGTTTCTTTTTGAAGTTGATTGGTGTGTAAAAGGGACACTAGTTGTCGTGGCTAGAAAAAATGTTCTGAGCATTTTATCCACTTAAGTTTGAAGAAAAGGTTCTGAGCATTTTATCCACTTAAGTTCAATTCAGCTTATGGTAACTTTTCTAGGAACTCTTCACAACTTTTATCAAATCAGACAAGTTCCTTGGCCAGGGTATCACAAGGGCTGAGAGCTAATGATGGGAGGAAGCATGATTTGACACATGCAAGTGTTTTTGGAAGTAGGTTTCTCAACATGGCCTCGTCAGCTGTTCATCAGGTATAATAATTTTCCTCTTTTTTGGATTACCAATGAATTTAAGTTTGTCCCGACTACTTCGGTCGTTGGTTAAGTGAGAATCATCATTTCTATGACTATGAGTGACACTGGTTGCTACTATTACAGTGTTTTCAACTGCAAATTTTATTTTTGTATGAACATATGGGTGGAAGATATGGCTAGACCAGTCTTCCATTTGTTTCAAAATGAGTGTTGTTTAAGGTGGTTGGTGCACAAATATTAAAAAATATAATAAAGTAGTCAAATGATAGCACTTTTATCAAATTAACCTTACTAGATTATGGCATTGTGAATTTAAAGGACCGAGTCTCAAGACAACAAACATGGCTTTGTAATTTGAAATTACTTCTGCCATGTTTACATGTTTACGGAAATCTAATAGTTATAATCATTGCTAATATTATCTTTATGGAAGTAGTAGCAAGCATTTGCCATTGCCATGTTTACATGTTTACGGCAATCTAATAGTTATAATCATTGCTAATATTATCTTTATGGAAGTAGTAGCAAGCATGCGCCATTCCCATGTTGATTTCACATTGCTCATGGTAGGAAACATGTTAAAATGGATTGTAATAGTAATAATTAGTACAGATTTTCTGACTTGCTTAAAGTTAATTAATGAGGGCAAAGTTGGACCGAAAAAGTCAATTGTTCATTGAAAATTGAAAACAACATTCATTTTGAAACAATTTTTTTTTTACTAAAGTGACACTCATTTTGAAAGAGAGGGAGTAAATGTGTTAGTGGTTGACCGCGATGTTCTGTTTTGTAGGATAGAAGTTCTGGTGCTTCAGTGCAACCTGATGTTCTGAGCATTCTCCGGCTGTGGATTCTACGGTGCACAGGATACGCTTTGCGATGATGCTGGCAGGCATTACTTCAAAGAATGCTACATTAAGGGTTCCATTGATTTCATTTTCGGAAATGGCAGATCCATCTGCAAGGTAATAATGCCTCCATAGTTGATCTTAATTTTTTCAACAGTCTTATGAGTTTGTTAAGATTTCATCAAAGAAATTAATTTTTTCAACATTGAGATGCGTAAGAAACATTAAATTAAGGCAAATTCTATTGGAAATAAACTTTTTCCAACTTTTCTTAAAACCTGTATAACCTTCAACATGAAATTTCTTTTGTGTACGATGAATAAGTGATATGTCAAAGTTGTTTTGTCAAATTATGATTTACTTTGATATAGACAGACTCTTTAACTTAATGATGAATTAATTTTAAACTTTCAAAATGTGAATTAGCAATGCCATCTATTGAAGGAAAGATGGATAAATCTGAAATTATATAGTGAACTGAAATTGTTTATTCATGGGGCTGAACATAAAAATTGAATTACTATTGTGATTTTTAGTAGGAATGTTGAGAACAAATTTACAGGTTGGGTTCCTGAGTCTTTAAAGGATATAAATAGCTTCTTGAGAATTTCTTAAGCCGGAAATCTTTGCTGCCATTATGGATTTCTACCCTTCCTGTGAACCTTTTTTTCTAGATTCTCAAGCTGCTGCATCCAAAGACACCGCCATTCATGATGTAAGTTCTTCTCATTTCAAGGATTTGGTGTGTTTTAATTTAAATTTTATTGAATCATTATTTTGATTTCCCTAATTTGTTATTCTTTCTGGTATGTTTATTGTATAGTAATAAACTCACATAATTATATTGAGCATAGTAATAATCTTACATAATTATATTGAGCATTAAGAATTTCAGTTGACGCTCATCTCCGCTCCTGTAATTTGTATTCTATATTTTATGTGTCTAATGGTTGGAGTCCTTGAATATTACAGATTCAAATAAGAAATTTGTGTGAATGTGTTGATACTTTAATTGATTCATATTTTTTTGATATAGCAAAAGTTTACATGGCCACCCGAAGACAAGATTACACTGCGATGCAACTTTAAAAAAAGAAGTGTAGCTAAGATATTGCAATTAATGCAATCATTGACTGAGTTTTATTTTCGCACCCATTAAAAAAAGATCAAAATTGGGTGGATGCTCACGCTGAACCTGCATGTGTAAGTCCTCCGAATCAATTTTATCTTTATAGAATTACTTTTGGCTTCATAAGGGTGAACAAACAACACCACATGATTGAGCAGTTCTTATATGATTTCCTGAGCTTGTCTCTGTTTCTCTCTAGTGGTTGATAACCTTAAGCTCTTATAACTATCAAAGTCAATTGAAGATCAAAAATATGTTTTCAGATTTATGGCAATGATTTCAACAAGTCTTGTGAAATCCTTAATCAACAAACATAAATGTCAAGGTAAGTATTTTAGTAGAGTTGATATGAGTCTGTATTTATGAAGGCATATGAATAGCATAGAATAGAATGCATTTGTGTTAAAGGCTGAATATTTTGATTTATATGAGAGGAAGCTTATTGTTATGTCTTTAAAATATTAATTCCTTGTTATGTTTTTTAAATTTTCTTTTAAGATGAATTTGAACGGAAAAAGTTGGAGATTTCTTTCCCAAATCAAAAATCTGCCCTATCAAGAACAATCATACAGCTGCTGACGAGATCTTCAGACCCCACTCAAAATCTGCTCTATCAAGAACAAACAACATCTGCTGATGAGATCTTCAGACCCCATAAAGATGCTCTATCAAGAACAAACCACTGATGACAATACTCTGATCACACCTGCTCTATCAAGAATAGACATACACCTGATGATAAGGTCCTCTGATCAAAACCTGCTCTACCAAGAACAGACATACACCTGATGATAAGATCCTCTGATTAAAACCTGCTCTACCAAGAACAGACATACACCTGATGATAAGATCCTCTGATCAAAACCTGCTCTACCAAGAACAGACATACACCTGATGATAAGATCCTCTGATCAAAATCTGCTCTATCAAGAACAGACAAATCTGCAACTGAGGAACCCTGGTACCAACATAACTGATTCACTGTCAAGAAAACCAGGTGGTCTGAAGGTCAAAGTTTCCTGCAATAAACCCAATCCCACTCACAGGTATGGACCTAAACTGACTCAAGGTATGGCATCCTATGCGTTCATCAGCGTCACAGACTTTCAAAACTGACGATACGATTCTCAGAAGGAGTGGCATCATTAAGTCTTGAAGAGGCCTCACTTAGCTGAATCACAAATGATCGGTCCCCAGAGTCGACAATCCACCAAACCAGCAACCGTCTCAACCCAAAGGGTTGAAAGTGAAGCCAACCGGATGAACCTCGTCTGAGCGTGGATTTCATGAGACACTAGTGCCTGCAAAGCAAGCACGCGCCCACTAATTTCCACTCTAAGTCTATAGTGCACTCAAGCCTGGGTCTGGCTTCTCACTCATCAGAACTCCCATCCCACAACAACACAAATAATCATATTATACTGAAAATAAAATGCGAGAAATAAAGTGCGAGAAGTAAAAATGCGATAAATAAACACAACCCAACAAGTAAACACACAAGCGGTAGGATTGACTCTCTTAAGGGACGTTGGATCCCAAATGCATAGGAATGGCCTTCCCCAGCAGAGTCGTCAGCTGTCGCTTGCGCGAAAATAAGGTGCCGGCATGACAGAAGAGTCGCCACCTTTCGTTATTTATCCCTCAGAGCGGGAAAGGAAACGATCGGAAAAACCTGACGAATAAGGGTAAGACAAGGTCATCGCAACCATTGTCTGGGTTCGGGAGTCGGTTACGCAAGGGGAAGGTATTAGCACCCCTCACGTCCGTCGTACTCGACGGGATCCTCGCTTGTTTGTTTACTTGGACGGGTTGGTTTTATTCTATCTACCTATCAAGGCTGGCTGAAAAAGAAAAGAAAAATGACTCGGCAAAGCGTCGCGCTTTATGCTTACGTATTCTCATCGGAGAATGAGAAATCAGAGTCAACGTAGTTCGGCCTACGAAGGGTTATGGGGGAAGGTAGCTCGCCAAGACTTCGCCATCTTGTGCCTACGTACTCTCAACAGGCATGAGAGATCAGAGCTCACGTAGTTCGGGAAACTACGGTTTATTTCCTGTCTTTTACGAAAGAAGTGTTTTTTATTGTGTTTGCGATTTCAACCGCACTAGAGACTATGACCTGAGAGTGAATGCGTCGCATGTCACCCAAAGGGTACCATACTAAACATCCAGACTGTGGAAAAGAAACTCTCCCACAATCCTTTCTCAGATAGCTTAAGGCTCGTAACGTACGAAAGAAATCATTCATGATTACTGTATCTTAAACTGTTTTGAGATGAGAAGAGAACAGGCCCAACTAGGAGGGAGACTATCAAGTCCTACTGTTGTCATGCCATGGATTCATCCTATGGTTGAGGTTTGAACAGGGAACTCCTAGATGTTGTCTTGCATAGGTTTCAACCTAAAAGTCTATCATCAAATCCTTATCAAAAGAAATGAGAGTCCTAAGGGATCATGTCAATGATACACCAAAACAGACAAAGCATCAGCTTAACAGTAAAATGCATGCAATGCAAGTGAGGGAGGAAATATGTGTGGGGCTTCAGCCTCCACAAGCTCATCTCAACCTCAAGCCAGTCATGAAATAACAGTAATCATACTGAAACATAAACAACATGCTATCAAGCAATAAACAGTAAACTGCAATTATACAGATAAAAGAAATGAAATACCATCAGGCAAACAAACCACATGGGCAAGGGAGCTGGGCTCTACCGAATACCCGCAAGCAAAGCCACGCAATAACAATACAAGCAGATGGAGCAACTCAACCTCTAATGCAATCATGCTCCTAGATTCTACTTATTCTAGATGGACTTAATCTAATGCAACAGACAAGTCAAACAAAACACACAATACAGAAAAGAAAAACAGAAGAAGGCCTCAGCTCCTCCAGCAGCAACTCAGTCTTCAGACTTCAGATCTCACTTGCTTTCCAGGTATCAACCCTACAACATGAGTATCAACTCATCTTCTCCCCTTAAGCTTCAGCTTCTTTGATCAGCTCCAACTTCAGGCTTCATTATCTTCAGGGATCTTCAAGTATCAACTTGATCTTCATGCTCTTCAAGCTTCAGCTGGAATGGCAGTCTTCAAGGATTCATCCTCTTCAACAATCTTCAATGAAGTCTTCATCTTCATGCTCAGGCTCTGACAGCTCTCAAGACAAATCAAACAGAGAAAAATCACTACTGGATAAGTTGGGGGATATTGAACTGCTTATTTGATCACCAAAGGTGACCTATCAGGGTTCAATATCAAGTGAAGGGTTCCCTCAAAAGTTCTACCTCCTAGGTATAACACTAATCCCTCCAAAGGAGAGAGGTGTATACCCTGGAAGGACTTTGAATCACAGGGAGGAATGGATGTGAAGAATACTATCCATGTTTAAGAAAGAAATTATCTACATCTAAGCTCTTCCTAGTCCTAACCCTAAAACAACAAAATGAAAAGAAGAACAAGCTCCTCAAGCTCCTCCAAGCCTTTTCCAATCTTCTAGTATGCTCCATTAAGCTCCACAATGAGATGCCAAGCTCCTCAAACCAAAGGGAAACTCCAAACCAAAGCAAACTAAACAAAACTTGCCCTAAAGGCCACACAAACAATCATTCAATTCAAAAATCAACCAAAAATAGTATATTATTCTATTAAATCCTAATATAAATGCTAGGGGACCCTACATAACTACCCTTAAGTCCCATATATTCCCCATATACTAAATTGCCCTACAAGACCTAAATCTAAAATTGTTATGAACCTATGCTAAAGTTTTAATCAAATTCTATACTACCTAGAACTACCTAATTAAAACTACCCTAAAAATTATCACAAAATTATGAAATTAATTCAAGGGGACCTAAACCATTCATCTAATCATCCTAAAAAGATTGAATTAAAAATCCTAAGGGAACTACCCTAATTAAATTCTACAAATTAGTATACCAACTAAAAGAATTAAAAAAACAATTAAAAGTATAAATGCACAAAAAATATAAAAATGAAATAAAATGGCTATTTTATGATTTTATATTTTTCTAGACAGAAAATGGAAAATGGGAAAAAAAAGTTTCATTAAAAAATATTCATTTTCCATTTTGTTATGAATTTTTGAAGATTAATAAAATTTGGAGAAAATATTAAATCTCGGCCGTCCGATTGCCTCCAAGTCAAATGGTCTTACATGTGATCAATGGTCTAGATTATGTCTTCAACCTTGTACACTTAGGGTTTTAGAACTCCATGAAAAACAACTTCATGCATGCAACTTTATCACCTTCGTTCTCTCTCATTTCTCCATCAAATGCCATGATCCAAGAACCAAACTTGACTAGAATTTTACGTAGAATACAACCATGCCCTTGGATTCCATTTTCTTCCACAAATCATCACTACAAACCTCCCTGAACATGTTCATGCTAGAGTAAGGTTCCATTGTTGAAGAATTGGAGCTTTCCAAGTGAAGTTGCAAGAGAGCAAAAAGGATTGGATCTGAAGATACAAGCCATCTCCATCAAATCTTGTGCAAGAAGAGTATTGTTCATCACCTAGGGACCATTTGGGAAGATCTACAAGGCCTGATTCAAAGCTTTCCAACACCTACCATTGCAAGAGTCAAGGTAAGCAAAACCACTTCCACACTTTGATTTAGGCATAGCTAGGATTAGTTCTTGTTGTGAAACCATTAGAGACCATTAGGTGATTCATTTGGATGAGTTTAAGACCAATTAGTGAGGTTTCATTAATGGAGGTGATGATTTGTGGAAGAAAATGGAAGGGTAATGAAGAGAAAAATGGAGTTTCAATACATTTTGCAAAATGGAGAGTTTTGGTTCAAACTCTTTTCTCTACCACCATTAACATCAACAATCACCAACCTTTCACCAATGGAGATTGTAATCAATATATAGAGATGTTTAGAAAGATCTAGAACCTCTTAGAATTATCTAGAAAGGACTTGAATTTTCTATGATATGGTAACTTGCATTTCACTTCCCACCACATGAGATATCATGACAAAAACCCTATAACTT